GGGCGCAGGCCTCGCGCCGGTGCACTTGCTAGCCTGCGCTTTGAGATGGGCAGAAGGAAGCGCAACGTCGGGCGTGATTTCACTTGGAAGGAAGGAATCCCAACGTGGTGGCTGGAAAATAACGTGTCTCAAGGCTGTTGACCGTTTAGAGAGGCGTGTCGGGGCTGCGCTTCATTGGCTCATGGCCTTGAATGCCCAGGGAGTGGTATTCGCTAAGTAACGGTTGGTGACTGCAGGGACAGGGCGGTGTTGGATGGAGAGCCCGCTCTAGCTGTGTGAGCCTGGGCAAGTCATGGGCTCCGTGTTCCACGCCGTTAAAAGTGAGTGTTGGTTTCGTTACACTCTGAAGTCCCTTTGAGACTAATAGTCTCTTAAATAACCGCCGAGAATATAGTCCATGCACTTCTTGGGAAGCAAAGGCGACCCTTCATCCTGCCTTCAAATGTTTAACTGCTCCCGGACCTGTCATTGAGAAATGAGAAAGTAAATCAAGCAGTAGAGCTAGGTCTCAGCCTTTTCTGCACTTCTCTGGAATGAGTAATAGTACTATTTCTAGAAAGCTTTTCTGAGAAAGCTAGGGGGGAAATTGTGTTTTCCACCTTCTTCAGGGAACATTGTGTAAGCATTGCACTAGCAGTAGTGAATGACACTATATTTCTGGAGGACAGTTTCGTAATCACTTAGGGTGGCCTGTGGGAGAGTGAGAGAGTGATCATGACCTCAGCACGTGGGGCAATGAAATAGTGTTAGAAGTAAACCTCTGCCTGGGACAATGGAATCGGAGTATACTTGTCATCCGCTTAAAACCACTACCTTTACTTCCATCTGCTTTGACCTTTCTCCCTCATGTCCTCCCTCCTTAATGAAGTCCCCGCTCATCTACCTCAAACAGCTCCTCCTCTTTGTAATAAGTGGCCTGGTTTCACTTCCCAAGGACATCTGTATTACCAAAATTCTTTATACATTATTTTATGTGTCCCCCATGATTATATAAGTTGGATTCTATTTATTCTATTTATAATTCTCGACTACTTATTACTTTTTGAAGACTATTACTTTAGAAACCACTGCTGGGACCAGCAGTTAGTGTAATGGCTATGTCTCTGGACTCCCACGTAGTCGACCATGGTTTGAGTCCCGGACCCGGTGGCTTAAAACTCACGCCAGGAGCGTGTGTGTGCATGCCCAAGATCCCAAGAGGAGAATGAAGGAGAAGGGATTGTGGTGTGGCCATCCCCCCTGGGGGGTGATTTCTCGCTTTCTGTCTCCCTGTCTCTGTCTCTGCCTGGCGAGCGCATGCGCCCTATAGCAACCCCCCCCCCAAAAAAAAAAGAAACCATTGCTGCTATTATAATGACCAGCACTGGACTAAGGTTCAACCATTGACAAAAGGCAACTGCAAATGAGATATTTTTCTATTTTCCTTTTTTCAAGAAAGAAATGTCTTCTGCAAAAAGAAATCCAAAGCACGAAATAATCTCCCAGTTTCATTGCTCAGCTGCAGAAGGAGATATCACCAAGTTAACAGGGATACTCAACCATTCTCCATCTCTTCTCAATGAAACTTCAGAAAATGGCTGGACTGCTTTAATGTATGCCGCAAGGAATGGGCACCCAGATGTTGTCCAGTTTCTTCTTGAGAAAGGGTAAATATTTTAAGCTATCTACCTGAAAGAGTATGTGGTTTAATTTGTTATATATTTCCATTTTTCAGTTCTTCTTGTAACCATATTTGTGTCATTGTGCTAGTAAATAACTTATTGACCACTTTGTTGTATAGAATCATTTTTAATTAAAAACTTTTAAATAGTTTAAATTTTCAAAGAAAATTTATGAGTCATCTGTTTTGCCCAAATAGAAAAAGTAAGTCTTATGATTACCAAGGACTCCTTCTAGAATTTTGGTATCACCTTATAGCTGATAAAACCTACACTTTTTTGTAATTATGCAGAAATGTTACATGCCTGCTATCTCTTTTAATCATTTATAATTATTAAATGGTTCTTTTAACATAGTAAAGTATGCACTCAAAAGGAAAAAAAAAAATCCTTGTAGTCATTAACTAGAAGGTCCGTAATGTGCACCTACCAATATTGTATTGAAATAAATACAAGAGAAACTGTTTGCTTTTTATTTTATTTCTTCACCCAGTTTTTTTCTTCCATCTTCAGGTGTGACAGGTCAGTTGTCAATAAATCGAGGCAGACTGCACTGGATATTGCTGCGTTTTGGGGTTATAAGCATATAGCTAACTTACTAGCTAATGCTAAGGATGGGAAAAAGCCTTGGTTCCTAACCAGTGAAGTAGAAGAATGTGAAAATTATTTTAGCAGGACACTACTGGACCGGAAAAGTGAAAAAAGAAATAATTCTGACTGGCTACTCCCTAAAGAAAGCCATCCAGCCACAGTTTATATCCTTTTCTCAGATTTAAATCCCTTGGTTACTCTAGGTGGCAATAAAGAAAGTTTCCAGCAGCCAGAAGTCAGGCTTTGTCAGCTGAACTACACAGATATACAGGATTATTTGGCTCAGCCTGAGAAGATAACCTTGATTTTCCTTGGAGTAGAACTTGAAATTAAAAAAGAGTTACTTAATTATACTGCAGAGGTCCCAAGAGAAGAGGAAGATGGGCTGGTTGCCTGGTTTGCTCTAGGTATAGATTCTGTTGCTGCTGAAGAATTTAAGCAAAGACATGAAAATTGTTATTTTCTTCATCCTCCAATGCCAGCTCTTCTGCAGTTGAAAGAAAAAGAAGCTGGTAAGAATTCAACACTGTTTCCTTGTATTGGTAATAATCAATTTTAGAACTGAGTTGGAGTTGTGTGTATCTACAGTTTCCAGGAGGCATGCATTTCATAATAAACGATGAACTTAGGCTATCTTCATTAGAAACTTTCTAAAGTTCTCATCCTAGAGGACTACTTTTCTGGGCAGTTACAGTAGATTTAATAAGCTAGATGAGTTTCCTCATTGTTAACCTCAATGCATGCTGGTTTCATTTGATTCTTTGGTGAAAAATAATTATAATAACCCTTGAGCACCTGCTACACATTGACCATGATGGCAAAACCCTGACTGTTTTGGTTTTTGTACCTGACATGTTTTTCAAGCTACTGGATTAGGGATTTGAACCATAGTCAGCTGTTTCAGATCAGGTTCCCTTAATCACCAGACCATGGGGCCCCCTAGGGTTTTGTTTTAAATGCCATTGAAGTGTTTTAACTTGACCTCTGTTTAAGAAAGAAAAATTACTCAGCTATTTATACTTTGTAGAGCATGAATTTGGGGTATATTGTGTGAGTCAGGAGTCTCATTAAGAGGAAATTAAGTATTACAATAACCTAGGTAAGTGATTGCAGTGTCTTAGAAAGGTAGCAGTAGAGATGAAAAGAGAGGGAGAGTTTGAGATACTCTGAAGTTGGAATTGACAGGTCCTAATCTTTAGGTTGTAAACAAGACAGAGACGGTAACCTGGAGTGAGGCATGCATTAAGGTACTCAATGGTGGAGAAAAGATCTGTTTCAAAGATAAAACCAACTACTTGCAAACTTATTGGGTATGAGTTTATAAGACAAAGATCAAGAATGCTAGGTTTGAGCCATTAATTATTTGGCAGAAAGAACTACTGTTTCTTGACAATAAAAGGTGTTGGACAGAGCAAGGAAAGCAGGACATACTTGGAATAAATATATTCCCCTCTCAGGATCTTGGGCATGCACGCACACACACCTGGCGTGAGTTTAAGCCACTGGGTCCGGGACTCGAACCATGTTTGACTACATGGGAGTTCAGCAACATAGCCATTACATTAACTGCTGGTCCCCCAAAAATATCTTTTTTGAAGCCATGTAGAACTTTAAGATCGAAACGATCTTGTGAATAGTTGCTTTCTTTCTTTCTTCTCTTTTTTTACTAGAAAGGAAACTGAGATCCTTTAACCCACTTGCTATATAAATTTACAGTTACTTAACTTCTTCATTCTTTAGTTTCCTCCTCCAGAAAATAATACTAATGCCTTCCTCATAGCATTGCTGTAAACATTAAATAATCCATACAAACTTCTTTGTGAAGTGCTTGGAACATAGTAAGTACTCTGTACATGAAAGCTTTTCACAATAAAGTGATCTAAAATAATGTAGAAACCTGAGTGTAAGTTTCATATCACAAGATGATGTAGGTGGTAGATACTTAATGTCACCTGTGTCATTCATTGAATTTCAGTATTAGAGTTGTTTTTACTTATTCCTTTTTCCAAATTTAAATGCTTTCATTATTATTTATTATTTTGTTTATTTCAAAAAATCTAAACGCTATATCTTAGAGCAAATTCTTAGACATTTTAAATGTAGCATTTATAGTGATACTGCCTCACTTGTAATATTTTTGGTCAGGCCATGTTAACTCCTTGAAATGCTAGAGTAAAAGTAAAGTATGGATATTCTAAGATTTGTTCTATTGGGCTTTTTTTTCTTTTTCTTTTTTTACACATTTTGTTTCACATTTTTCCATCTGTCAGATATTTCTTCCCCTTGCACCTCACACCCATCCTTCACCACCCACTCTCTATCAACCACTGTCTCTCCTTACAGTCTCTAGCATCCACACCCATCCTTTCCACTATCATATCTTCAGATCTCTTATCCTCTGCCATAGAGTGCAGACACTCAGTATAACTTGAGTGGGGATATACAATGTGTATCCCTCAATGTCTGGCTTATGTCACTCAACATTAAATCTTTTATATTCATCCATTTTGAGTAAAACAATAGGATCTCATTGTTTCTTATAGCTGAGTATTCCACAGTATACATGTACCACAGTTTTCCAATTGAGTGCTTAGTTTTTGGACACTTAGGTTAGCGCCATGTTTTATCAAGTGTGAATAATTTTTTTTTTTCTATAAAGCTAATGACAAATATTGTAAGCACATATATGTAAGCACATTATACATATGCAGTCTGTGGTAGAAAATAGGATATATTTGGGACCAGCAGTTGGCATAGTGGCTATGTCGCTGGACTTTCATATAGTCGACTGCAGTTCGAGTCCCTGACCTGGTGGCACGTTTAACTCACTCTTGTATATACAAAATTTTAAAATCACCAATAGTAAAAGCCTTATCTAGTAAAGTGTGTCAATGATATTAGGACTGGTTAATCTGAAAATCCAAATCAAAACTTCTCCAAAATATGAACCTTTGAGTGTACCAACATAACTCCAAAAATAAAAAATTTCACAGCACATTTCATATGAGGGTCCCATTCAAAGCTCTGCATTACAAAATATTGCATAAAATTACCTCAGCCTATGTATATAAGATACATATGAAACATAAATTAATTTTTTTTCTTTCCCTTTTTTAAAATTATTCTTTTTTGAGAGGTTTTTGCTATAGGGTACATGCGCTCCCCAGAAAGACAGAGACAGAGAGCAAGAAATCATCACCCCAACCCACCAGAGGGAATGGCCACACCTCAATCCCTTCTCTGCCATTCTCCTCTCAGGTTCTTGGGCACACACACACATATGCCCGGCATGAGTTTAAGCCACCAGGTCCGGGACTCGAACTGCAGTCAACCATATGGGAGTCCAGCGACATAGCCATTATGCCAACTGCTGGTCCCCATAAATTAATTTTTTATGTCCAGACTTTGGTCCCCTCCCCCAAGATACCTCATTATGTATATACAGATATTCCAAACGTAAAAAAAAAAAAAATCTGATACATGAAGTGATTCTGGTCCCAAGCATTCTGGATAAGGAATATATAACCTGCACACCTAGATTATATATGAGCTATGTTTTATTCAAATTAAAGTTAAGTCAATTTTTCATTTGTCATCTGGAAAATTAAATCTTTCTTTAAAAGAAAAATATAATCACAAAAGTAAAAATATGAAATCCTTTAATGCTATTTAGAAAACAGTATATGTCTTTATTGTATCTTGACATTTTTGCCATATATTAGGCTTTTACAGTTTGTTACAGAATTAAAACCTTGTGTGCTTCTTTTAAAGGTGTGGTAGCTCAAGCAAGATCTGTTCTTGCATGGCACAGTCGATATAAGTTCTGCCCAACCTGTGGGAGTGCAACTAAGATTGAAGAAGGTGGCTATAAAAGAGTATGCTTAAAAGAAGACTGTCCTAGTCTCCACGGTGTTCATAACACGTCATATCCAAGAGTAGGTAAGCCTTCTCTTTTACACTGAAATCTCAGCCACCTAGAGTCTTGGAAATAAAAAGTGTGGAAAGACAGGTTTGTGAAAAGCTAAAGAACTTACTTGTTTTTATTGAAATTATGTTTAATTTAACTCTTAAGACTGTAAGTTTTGTAATATTACATACTTTTATGTTTCTAAGTAAAAGACATTGTACGTAATTAGCCATTTCTCACTAACTTTGGGTTAATCCATATGAATTTGATGTGCTGAGATTTGTGATATCAAGAGCCCACCGATCTGGCTCCATTTAGTGTGAAGGTCACTCAGCATCTGCGTGAGGCATCACCAAAGCAGGACAGCCTGGAGCCAGTTTCCCATTACTGCTAGTGTCTGCCCAAATCTTCTGTCCTCCCAGTTGCTGCTTTGAATCTGCTCTAGGTTTGGAAATATGATAACCTAGCCCCTTAAAACTGTGTGAAAAAAGAATAGATTCAGCAACACCAGAGGAGGTCTCCGGGGAATAAAATACATAGCTTAGTGATACCTGGGTTTTTTTGCTTAAGAGCCTTTTACATTAAATTCCCAGCTCTCAATCATGATCTAGTCAGGAGAATTTGCTGAAATAGTGACTTTTAGAGAGAAGAGCTGTTACTTCATTTCTTTTCTTTTTTTAGTGACTTCAACAAACCTAATCATAAAGCTATATTAGTTTTTAAAAACACTTTGTTAAGAACTGGAGTGGAAGGTAAAGGGTATGCTCACTGTTTCCTGGTAAAGTTGAATTTTTCCTATGTCCATGTATTCCCTACTCATTTTTTTCCTCATTAAAAAAAAAATTAAAGAACAGCCTAGTATACAGAAAAAATGTTGCTATTAAAATTGAGAGAAGGGGGACCAGCACTTAGCGTAATGGCTATGCTGCTGAATTCCCATGTAGCCAACCATGGTTCGAGCCCTGGACCCAGTTGCTTTAGACTCATGGTGGGCGCTTGTGTGTGCGTGCCCAAAATCTCAAAGGGAGAATGGAGGAGAAGGGATTGCGGCGTGGCCATCCCCCCTGAGGGGGGGTGATTTCTCACTTTCTATCTCTCTGTCTCTCTCTGTCTTTCTGGTGAGCACACACGCCCTATAGCAAAAACCTCTCAAAAAAAAAAAAAAATTGAAAGATGGTAGAACCACCAAATGGCAGAGTGGTTATGTCGCTGGACTCCCACATGGCCAACCACATTCGAGTCTTCAACCCAGTGGCTTTGAAATTCACGCCAGGCACATGTGCATGTGTGCCTAAGATCCCAGGAGGAAAATGGAGGAGAAGGGATTGCGGTGTGGGCATTCCCAATGGGGTGACGATCACTGGGGTGACGATTTCTCACTTTCCCTCTCATAGTCTTGCTCTTTCTCCGGCCAGGGCAGGCACCCTAAGGCAAAAATCTCTTTAATGAATTCCCATGTAGCCAACCATGGTTCGAGCCCTGGACCCAGTTGCTTTAGACTCATGGTGGGCGCTTGTGTGTGCGTGCCCAAAATCTCAAAGGGAGAATGGAGGAGAAGGGATTGCGGCGTGGCCATCCCCCCTGAGGGGGGGTGATTTCTCACTTTCTATCTCTCTGTCTCTCTCTGTCTTTCTGGTGAGCACACACGCCCTATAGCAAAAACCTCTCAAAAAAAAAAAAAAATTGAAAGATGGTAGAACCACCAAATGGCAGAGTGGTTATGTCGCTGGACTCCCACATGGCCAACCACATTCGAGTCTTCAACCCAGTGGCTTTGAAATTCACGCCAGGCACATGTGCATGTGTGCCTAAGATCCCAGGAGGAAAATGGAGGAGAAGGGATTGCGGTGTGGGCATTCCCAATGGGGTGACGATCACTGGGGTGACGATTTCTCACTTTCCCTCTCATAGTCTTGCTCTTTCTCCGGCCAGGGCAGGCACCCTAAGGCAAAAATCTCTTTAAAAAAAAAAAAAAAAAAAAAGATTGGGGGAAAGAAGACAAAAATGGCCTTCCTTTAGCTTACTGACAGTATTCTATGCAGTTTGGGTGAGATATTCTGTCATCAGCCAAATCAAGGCAGAAGGAAGCAATTTCTTATGCCCAGATGAAAGTCTTGTTCCCACAGGAGAACCTTTGCATTATCCTACCGGTTAGTGACTGTGCAATGAGTTTAAATAATTTTTTTCTGACATTCATATATTTGTTTATTTTTTCATAGATCCTGTAGTAATCATGCAAGTTATTCATCCAGATGGGACTAAATGTCTTCTAGGCAGGCAGAAAAGATTTCCCCCAGGCATGTTTACTTGCCTTGCTGGATTTATTGAACCTGGTAAGCCTTTACTTAAAACATTTTACTGTAATTTCTATTTAACATATCTTTTCAAAATAAAAATTTTGGACAGCACTTGAGAGGTAATCTCTAACAAATTAACATGGTATAAAATTGAGTTATTTATAATACTTTAAACATGATATAATTTTCATGTGTTTAATAGGGAAATTTTGTGTTTTATTAAAAATTGAGTATTTGCTCTATTATATATTCTTCTTGGGTATCTAGATGGTTTACACCTTGCTTCCTTCTGTACTGGACTCATCTGACACCTTTTCAAAAAGGCTTTTCCCAATTGCCCCCAATACCTTAATTAGCCCCCATACTCTGCCTTCCCAGTCCCTAGTCAGCCTGTCATCTGCCTGAGTTTCCCTGCAGCACTCGTCACCATCTATTATGGTATGTAAGAATATATATGTAATGTTTATAATATAATATAATATAATATAATATATGTGTGTATTTATTATCTGCTCTTACTAGACTCTTAGTACCAGAAGGCCAGGGATTTTATTTTATTCATTGCTATATCCCAACCTCTTATAGCCTTATAGCAGGTACTCACATGAAGGAGGAGTAAATATATCTAATTAATTAATGTCCAATTTCAGTTTTTTTTTTTTGGCGAGGTTTTTGCGATAGGGCACGTGCGCTCGCCAGACAGACAGAGACAGACAGAGAGACAGAAAGCGAGAAACCACCCCCCAGGAGGGATGGCCATGCCGCAATCCCTCCTCCTCCATTCGCCTCTCAGGATCTTGGGCACACAGGCACACGCGCCTGGAGAGAGTTTAAGCCACCAGGTCTGGGACTCGAACCGTGGTCAACTACGTGGGAGTCCAGCGACATAGCCACTACACTAACTGCTGGTCCCTCAATTTTCAATATTATAACACCAGTAGTTACTAGATAATGATAGTAGTGAGGGATCGGCAAATGGTGTGGTGATTAAGGATGCTGGATTCCCACATAGCCAACCACATTCTGAGTCCCATACCTGGCAGCTTGCTTTCTCACTTTCTCTGTCTCGCTCCATTCTGCTCTGGTCAAATTTAAATTAATTAATTAGTTAATTAAGTAATTTTTTAAAAAATAGCGACTATATATATAATATGTAATAGATATAGTAGTGAATATATGGAAAATTTATGTATGTTAAATCATATCATACTCATAGTCTTATAAAGTAGGTACTACTACAGTAGTATTACAGATGGCGCACCAGGGCTGAGGCACCAAATGACATGCCCCAGACTAAATATCTAGAAGTGACAGGGAAGGGATTCAAACCTGGGCAGTCTGGCTTCTGAGTCCTTGTTCCTAATCACTGTGCTGCCCCTAGTAATTCCAGGTTGTTTTTTTAACCGTTAGATAGTATTGCATGTATCAATATTACACTGTTTATTTAACCATTCTATGAGTAGACATTAATTTATTTCAAGGTTCTTATTACAAAAGCACAGCAGAGAGTATTTTTATACTTCTTGTGTACATTTGCAGAAGTTATATAGGCTATACACAGAGAGTCGGATTGCCAGCTCATATGATAGGAGCCTCTTAACCTTTTCTAGATATTGCCAAGTTATTCTCTGACAGTTTTCTGCCAGTTTGCACTCCTACTGGCATTATGTACAATGCTCTGTTAGTCCACATCTTCAAGTTAGGCTGTTCAGATATTTTAATTTCCTACTCCTAAGGGTGTGAGATAGTGTGTAATTGGGGCTTTCATTTTCGTTTCCCTGCTGCTGGAACATTTTTTTCAAATGTGTATTAGGTATCCAATTGTTCTTTTTGCAAACTTTACATGCTTATATTGTTTACCTATTTTTTGCTTTAATCATTTATCCTTCTTAACAGTTCTTAAATATGAATTATAATGCTGTTATGATTTTGCAAATATTTTAGACTAGTTTATGACTTATCTTCTCTCTGTATTTTTTTTTCTCAGTGTAAGTTTTTAATTTTCATTTAGGAAATAGATCAATCTATTTAAAATAGAAAGCTATTTTTTAAAATTGTATTCTACTGGGTACCAGCAGGTGGCGTAATGGTTGTATCAGTGGACTCCCACGTGCTTGACCATGGTTTGAGTCTTGGACACAGCAGCTTAAAACTCAGGCTGGGTGCATGTGTGTGCGTGTCCAAAATCCCAAGTGAAGAATGGAGGAGAAGGGATTGCAGAGTGTCCGTCACCCCGGGTGGGGGGGTGTGATTTCTCATTCTCTGTCTCTCTGCCAAGCGTATGTGCCCTATAGCAAAATCTCTCTTAAAAAAAAAAAATTAAAAAACCTACAAAATACTGCTGTTTTTAGCAAGATATTTCTGAACTTCCAGATAAATTTTACTAAACTATTTCCTCTGTTCTGATTCTCAATTTTAATCAGTCAGAAATATAAACTACATTTACAGGAATCACTTTATTTTACCATAGCTAAAGTCAGTAATAAAAAACAGTTAAAAAGAAAAAAAAATACTGAGTTTTATCTTATGAGGATTTAAATTTTTAAGGATCTGAAAAGAATTATCTTCAATAATTGTATAAAAATATAAACAGTTTCAAGATTTTAGTGAGCAAAGAGCTAGCTATTTGTAAAAAATCATGTAATGATCATTTTTAACTATACAGTGATAAATTATAAATGAGATAATTCACAGACTGAGTATCTCTTATTGGAAAGGTTTGAGACCAGAAGTATCTTAGATTTCAGATTTTTTTCAGATTTTGAATTATTTGCATGTACATAATGAGATATCATGGGATGAGACCCAGATGCAGACACAAATTTTATCTGTGGCTTGTATGTACCAAAACATGTATATAGCCTGTAAGCAATTTTTTATATGTTTAATAATTTTGTGCATAAAGAAGGATTGTGTGTGCATTGAACTATTAAAAAGGCAAAGTGAAATTTTCCACTTCTGGTGTTATTCTGGTGCTCAAAAAGTTCTAGGTTTTGGAGTATTTCAGATTTTCACATTAGAAGTGTTCAACCTGGGGACCAGCAGTTGACGTAATGGCTATGTCACTGGACTCCCATGTAGTTGACTGTGGTTCGAGTCCCAGACCCGGTGGCTTAAACTCATGCCAGGCACGTGTTCGTGCATGCCCAAGATCCCAAGAGGAGAATGGAGGAGAAGGTAGTGTGGTGTGGCCGTCCCCCCAGGGGACGATCTCTCACTTTTTGTCTCTTTGTCTCTCCCTGTCTTTCTGGCGAGCACACACACCCTAAGCAGAAACCTCCAAAAAAAGTGTTCAACCTGTATAAAGCATTTGCTTAGCCAGTAGTTAATGCTGGATGGTTGTTGATGTTACAGTTGTCCTTTATAAATAGTTATAGTTAAACAAATTAGGACCTTAAAGAAATGAAAAGTATAATGCCGGTATTTTGATATTCCACATATCATATATTTTAAAAATACATACTTTGAAAAATAATGTTTTCTTCACTTCCAGTCTAGTTTTAAGCATTGGCTTTCTGATTCTTTGAATTGGGTTTCTGTCCAGAATGATTTCCAAATGTTTGAAGTATTCGGAGCACAAAATGTCCAGGGTGTGTTCATCAGCAGCGTGTTCTTTTGCCCCATGTGATTAGGGGAGACGATAGAAGATGCTGTTCGAAGAGAAGTAGAAGAGGAAAGTGGAGTCAAAGTTGGCCATGTTCAGTATGTCTCTTGTCAGCCATGGCCGATGCCCTCCTCCTTAATGATTGGTTGCTTAGCTGTGGCAGTGTCTACAGAAATTAAAGTTGACAAGAATGAAATAGAGGATGCCCGCTGGTTCACTAGAGAACAGGTAAAGTTCAATTTAATTTCCTTCTCCTATTGATTGTTCCCTGACTGTATTGGTTTGGGCACAGAGCAAGGCTGCATATTTTCAGCAAGTCGAATGAACGGCTGTGGCCCTCTTATTATGCATGGATTACAATATAATTGGTAACTCCAAATAGCAGTCGTGTGTGTTCACTAATGTGTCCTATATAAACTCATTCTTTGAGATTCTGTCAGTAGTAATGATGATTTTGTCCTGTTTTAAATTCGATACGCCATTCCTTCAGATTAATGATAATACCTTTCAATGGACGTAAAGTAGATAAACATTAGTTCAGAGATGGGAAATGGGACTATCATTCTTGTATTATAGTTCATAGCATTTAAATGGGTAGCTTTCAAAAAATTCAATAAAAATGCTTAAAATTTTTGAAGTTTTTATTCATTTTAAGATATATTTAAAAATAAGAGGGACAAAACTGTATAATGGATATACATTGACAAGAACTTTTGTTTGTTTGTTTGTTTTTAGGTTTTTGCCATAGGGTGAATGTCCTCACCAAAGAAAAACAGAGAGAGAAAAAACAAGAAATAAAACCCCTGGTGGGATGACCATGCCTCAATCCCTTCTCCATTTTCTTTTCAGAATTTTGGACACCCATGCACACACATGATTTTCAAGCCACTGGGTCCAGGACTTGAACTGCAGTCGGCCATGTGTGAATCCAGCACCTTGACTACCCTGCCACCTGTTGGCCCCCACAAGAACTTTTTAAAACATCATTTCTAAGTAATGTAATGAAAGATAAATTACTTGTCTATGTTCTGCATGATTGTAAACATGTGTATAAAAAGCAGAGGGGCCAGGCGGTGGCATAGTAGTTATGTTGCTGAACTCCCACAGGACTTACCATGGTTCAAGTCCCAGACCCGTGACCTGAAAATCACATCAGGTATATGTGCATGCAGGGCCAGGATCCCAAGAGGAAAATAGAGGAGAAGGGATTGTGACATGACCATCCCTCCTAGGTAGTGATTTCTTACTATTTCCTTTCACATTCCCTCCCTCTGGCTCTCTCCCTCTCCCTCTCTCTCTTTCTCTCTGGCAAGTGCATGTATCCTAAGGCAAAAACCTCTTAAAAGGGAGAAAAAAAAAAGAAACAAATGGGAACCAGCAGTTAGCGTAATGGCTATGTCGCTGGACTCCCACGTAGTCGACCACAGTTCACGTCCCGGACCCGGTGGCTTAAAACTCACGC